TATATATATATATATATATATATATATATATATATATATATATATATATATATATATATATATATATATATTATATACTGTACTGCTGTAGCAAAAAAGAGTAATAGAAATGATAAACATACCCAACAAGTCGTATGATAGCATCACTGAAATGTTTTTCCAACAAATGAAAGATTGCGTTAGCTTGGTCAACTACCTCTAGAAATCTTGAATTTGGGATTGATTTAGGTTCTGGTCCTGGTAAATCTTAAAAAATAAAGAGTGCATAAAGTATACGTTTAATATTTTGAGTTACTTACATACAAGAGCGAGTTCTTTAGTGGAGTTCTTCACAAGGTGATTATCCTAATCACCTAATGTATTTACTAAAATACAGTCAATTAACATTGGTGAAGTTTACCGAAATACGGTCAATTAGTATTGATTATATACATATTGAATTAGTCAAGATTATATACATAAAAGATTATACGAACGTCGAGTCAATTCTGAGCCGAAATTTTTCCGATGGATATTATCTTGTGTACAGGGGCGTAGGAAGCGGGGGGGCACGGGGGGCACGTGCCCCCCCCCCAAATTTTCTTAAAGGACTAAAAGTGCCCTTTTTTGTGATAAAAAGTGCCCTTTTTGTGTTGAAAAGTGCCCTTTTTTGTGAGGAAAAGTGCCCCTTTTGTAGAAGCTAATGTCGCTGTAAATACTAAATTAAAACAATAGGTGCCGTTTTTGTGTGGAAATTTACAAATTTTTTTTAAAAATTAGGTCACAAACATAAATTTCGGTATGATACGACGGAAAATTTTCCTCAGGAGAAATTTCTCCCCCCCCCCGTCGACAACATTTCCGGGAAAAATTTTTTAGGTGCCCTTTCCGATAGTAATGTGCCCCTACAAGCCGGTGCCCCCCAAACTCCAGGTGCTTCCTACGCCCCTGCTTGTGTACACTTTCAGCAAAATTACTTACACTGTAATCCTATATCAAGGGCGTAATCAAGATGTTCACGACAAAGACTATCCAGAAGAATAGAATATATGTTAAATACGCACGATGGTAATTCTGATGACTTGCATAGCTAGAAAGATATCAAAAACTACTTTGAAAAACAATATCATACAAACAACGTATCATATTAAAACACAGGGAGCACACCTCGACGATACGACAAAAACATAGTGATATACATATGTAATTAATAATTATAATTGTTTAAAAACTTACTTGGATTGCTACGAATAACCTTGAAATTTCAACACAAATAAATCTTCCAAACACATTCAACAAGGCTACTTGTAGAACAGATCGAACGATCACGTGAATTTTGTTTCAACCCTTTCTCTTCTCTCTCTCCTTTTCTTGAATTGCCTTCAACGTGCGCCTGCGCTACATTCAACCTCAAATTTCGTCTATACTTCGTGTAGAATTCGCGTTTTTGTTGAATGTGTTTGGAAGATTTATTTGTGTTCAAATTTCAAGGTTATTCGGAGCAATCCAAGTAAGTTTAACAATTATAATTATCAATTACATATGTATATCACTGTGTTTTTGTCATACTTCCAAGGTGGGCCCACTGTGATTAAATCTATTACATTCTAAGCGTTGCTTTACCCGAAGGTTCCAGCACTGCAACAGAAAAATAATTCCGCGGGCAGGACTATTCTTTATATCTCATCCCGTTATAAGTAACTTTATAGATACGTGTATTGTGATTGAACCAATAGACTTCCTACTTGCAACACCAGTTTGAATGACTTTCCTCAGTTGAAAAACAAAGAAGGGATATCGGAACATTCCGGAGAAACAAATGCGCTGTTTATTTACGATTGAAAGTTATTTTTAGGATTATTTAAAGATAGAAAGTTTCTCAAAATAAAGCATAATATAAAATCTCTCTTCACACTTTAAGTACTGTAAATGTCAATTTATAAATTGAGATGTCAAAATGTTTCTAAACAACAGTGTCGCCGTAACTTGTAATGCTATGGTAACCCATAACTAAGGACGATTCTTCACCTACCATCTCACATCTTCGTAAGGAATTTTTATTCACGAGTAAAAGACTGACAGCAACATGTTGGTTGAGGTATGTTTCTTTAGTGTTATCAGATTGCTGTTGCGATGTCTGTGTCAATCCAGTCAGTCGAACAAATTCGTTAAACCTTAAAATTCGAATTTAGAAGTCAATTACTATAATAATATTTTTGTCATCCGTTTTGAATCAGTCAGTTCAGTAAAATAAGGTAAAGAAATCTAAAGTAGAGTAATTTTAAGTAGTAAAAGTATAGGAGAAAATAATAAGAATCTGGCAGGTACTTCACTTATACGTACCCGGAAACATGCACCTTCTCTCTCTTCTGATGCCCAATGGATTCATAATATCTGGACAGCAGCAACTCGCACTTCTCAGTTAAGTACTTCAGTTCACGCCTAAATAATATAACAATCAGTAACCTAGGCTGTGGACTGACTTAAATTTGCTCCTGTTGCTACTCGTAGGATAACTAATAAAATACCGTAAAGCTATACCAAGATTGAGTATATACTGCATTATATTTCCTCTGCACTCAGCGGGGAAAAGCTATTGCGTGAGTTTTAACATATTGTATACTACAGCGTATTACAGTCTGCACATGCTAAAAAATAATCGCTTGAGGGATTACAGGATCAAACTACATGAAATAAGTATATAAATATCCACATATCCAGTGGGAAATCTAAACCTAATATAGAATAGCAGAACTCTTTCCAAAGGGGGTTTGAACAGCACCTGAGGGGGATGCTGCGAGGGGTTTGCATCCCCCCCCCCCCTTCCCAGTAGACCCACCAATGCCTGCTATCCGTCACTGTTCGTCTATACCTACACTGAAACCTCACAATCACTACAAAATGGGTATAGCCTATTACTTCTATATATCACTTACTTTATATAATCGTTCAAATATTTACTGAAGACATTTTTCTGTAAACGATGCAGAAATGACGAGTCGGATCCCAGTTTGTAGTCAGATAGTTTCTTACCCAACTCTTTTGTCCTAAAACAAAACGTCAGTATCTCTCGGTCTCGTGTTTATAATAGTTTTGAGTGTTGCAAAATACGTCATAAATGTCGTGTTGCATCAAATCCAAAAAAATACTGTGATCGTCATGCATGGTATTAAATCATTAAAAATAGGAAGTTTTAATATCAACAACCCCTTATTTTATTAATTGACCCCCTGGATACGCATGCACTCACCCGCCTCACTACGGATTAAAAGGGCTTCCAAACCTGAGTATTATTCGCCACTCCTGGTCAGTCTTCACTCCCCCAGGGAGTGGGGAAAAAGTACCCCAGTAGTAACTATATCCAATCCTGACTAAGACTGGACGTATTTAACATTATGACGAATTGATTGTGTCATTGGTATCCGTGTGGTGGTGTTCCGAGAAGTTGCTGCCCAAGGAAATTTTGTAGTCAGTCAGAGAGTAGTGCTTTCCTGCATTTTCAGATTGAAATTCTTGTAAACAGAACAGCAAAAATTGCGTAGTTTGAAGAAAAGCTCTAAACTTTTTGAAAATTCTATTTCCAGTAATTTTAAAACTACTTTTATTTCCCCTCCATGCTACTGTCTTTTCCATCCTATACTCTCTTTTCTATCTCCCCACCCCCCGGGGGAGGCAAACGGTAATATATGCATTCCTGTGCCTCGTTTGATCGAACATGCAAAATAGGAATGAAGTACATGGAAACTAGATTATACGTACTTGCTGTATAATCTGTACAGGTTTTCAAGATAAGAATCATTTTGCTGCAGCCTTTCATCAAGCTTATGATCAACATGTTTCTACAACACAATCATTATTTGAAATTAACCATTCAGAACATTTAAATAGGAGGTATGGGGAAGTCAATTCACAGACAGGCAAAGGGTTTTATATTGTTCCAGTTAACAATTACTAATTTGCACGCTCACCCGAAAGATGCGTTTTTCCAGGGCGTCGATTACGTCAAGTTTCTGGTGCACACACGCATGCTTCTTTGAACGAATAATGTACTATTACTTTCGTATATGATTTTATGGCGAATATTCCAAGAACGTTGTAATGCAACCCACATATTTTCCGTAAATATAAGATGACAACTTTTCTTAACGTTAATACTATCCTCTGAATAAATCCATATTGATCTCCTACCTGAATTGCAACTTCATATATGTTTTGCACAAGTTTTCCCATCACCATTTCTCCGTTTATACCAAATACAGACTTAACTAATCCATTAACATTGCGACATAACTCGACTACGTCTTTAAAGACGTCTTGAGAATTGAACTGACTCTAGAAACGCGTAAAACTGGAGTTCATATTCCTTATGTACACCACTGACAAGGCTAGCTGGTGCCAGGAGGGGAGGGAGGGGGGACCTGGCTCGGTCGTCCAATTAGCACCGATTAAGGAAAACAAAAACCATGGTAACAAAAATTAGGTACATGTATGGCCCCCTCTCAGCTTGGTGGCATTCCAACGCTGATAAAATTGTGACTTCATAGCATGGGGTTCCAAATAGCCAATGTGTCAGTTTTCCAACATTTTAGCAGTTATGCATGAATCCAGTTTATCTATTCTCTCTTTGCTTAAGTACGCAGCAACTAACAAAGATAACCAAATCTTTGGAAATTAAACAAAAATGGATGAAATACCTTTTGACTTTCGGTAATAAATACTTCGATACATTTTTGATATTTCTAGAAATATAATCAAGAATTTGAGTTTTTCTGCTAGTAGATGCATGTAACAAGATAGAACAAAGACGTAACAAGATAGAAGTCATCACCAGCACTATACAAGACCTTTATTTGTAATTTAGTAGCATGTAATGGGACTGGAAAACACGTGTGGTTTTATCATGCAAATACAAAAGCGGACACTTGGAGGGGGGGGGGGCAGACAGGGCAACCGTCCCCCTCCAATAATGCTGACGGCTGCATGAATGATGGTGTAACAAAGATGTAACAATAATTTTATAACCATGAAAACATTCATAGGCTATAAATTAAGCAAATTTTCATGAAATTTACGGCAAAAAGGGGGACTAATCACCATTACTTCCAGCTGAGAGCTAAGTTGAATTGCGAAGAACGCGCCTCAACTTGTTCGAGTAGAAGGATTTCTAAGGGTGCCTCTGCATGGCAGCCACCTCATGCATGACTCATGTCTGATTACGGAATTACGGAACACGGCTACGGTGTAAGGGGCAGTTAGGGTCAGAGCACACGGAGAAAATTCACTACTTTTGGTAGAGTGTTGACTTTTCCATGAATGTCTCGAGTTTGGAACGAAAATCTAACCAGCTATCTCAGAGGTGAAAGGCGATTGCTCGAACGATTGCGCGACCAAAAATCAGATAGGCACCTGTCGGCGTACATCGTAGAATATCGGACAGGTACGTGACTCTATCAAAGACTCGTGATTGGTCTATATTATTTTATGTGAGATTATGTAATAAAAGCTAATATCATGCTACTAGAGAGCCAACCAGATTGCATGCAGTTGTCTATATCATAAAAATATATATCCCCAGTTCTATACACTTCCTTTTGCAAACGTTAAGGAGGAGATTAATGATATACCTTAAAAGGTAGAAGAGTTTCAGCCAATGCTTTCATCGTCTCCATTTCGCCTGCATAATGCGCATTCTTGAATAGTGCAATCAACTGATCTTCAATCTTATGATAATAAGCTGAAGAATTAAAATTAACGACGTGTGTAAGAATTTGTTTAACGACGTGCATGATGGGACCGGGATTATTTGGGCACAGGTATAATGCATCCGATAATGTATTGTCCCTTGGGTGTTAAACTTTTATTATTTTTTAAATTCGATTAGAATTCGCCATTATTTTTACAATTTTCTCAAATAATTTATCCAAAACTGAAAGCACATCCAAATAATGTACAAAATACCTTCTATGTTACTCTTCACCTCTTCAAATCTGAATGAAATAAAATAAACTATATATGAGCACAGTCGTGTCTTTCTTCCGTGCGATCCAGAATCGTTCACAAAAAGTAAACGTATATGTACGTACTTATCATTTGAAAGTTCTTGCGATATTTGGTGTAGCTTCTGGATAATGTTAGCTGCTTCATGTATCTGTGAAATAACCAAGGAGATCCATACTGTACAACGTTTTAAACAAAGGTCAAAACTTTTTATTCTACTTAATATATAGAAATCGTCTCATCAGTACCTCAAACCGCTCTTATCAGTATCTCAATCTTTCTATCATTCATCTCGTATTTCAATCTCGTTCCCCCAGCCTGCGATCCTCGGGAAGGAACATGAGGCTCTGGGATAATCCGTTTCAGGAAGGAATCTGATTCGCCGTTGAAATGGAATGCGCAGTTCAGTCTTAGCCAGGATTCCTGGCTTCCGGAAATGGATTATCCCAGAGCCTCACGTTCCTTCCCGAGGATCGCAGACTCGGGGAACCAGATTGCCCGTATTTTACCATCCTCGTCCCCAGGGCCTCTCGGCCTCCATAGGCCCTGGGACATACGGAACCGGAAGTGCAAGAAAACTTGCAGTAATGTAGTTCCTAAAGAAGCGAAAGCTCTTGAATTGGGACGCTTTAGCACCCCACCACAATTTTCACATTGAAGTATTTGTCTTGACATATGTTGATAGAATAATTTTGCCTAGCGAAAACTGGTCAACTTCTGCGAAATAGCAGTTCTCTGAGAAGCCAATCAGACTCTCCCTTTTGTTGTCTAACCCAGAGCCTAATTTTCAACAAGTGACCGAGTGAAAGTGGCTCTGGCGACAGGAGTGGTATTTTACATGAATAACTTTCTTATATCAGTTTTTGAAATAATATTAATATAAAACAAAAACTCGAAAATAACAACGCCTTAAAAACCCCAAGACAGTATAGTTAGTTAGTTACCGAGGAGGTAAAATATTAGACAAAAACAGGTACATTTTTATATAAACCTATAGCATAAAACTATATAAATACCCTGGCTTGGTCTTGAAATACGGAAGAGGTGGGTGTATCGGCCACAAGGAATTCGTCGAAGTATTTCATCAGCTGTAAAGCATCCTTTGCTCTCTGTCTGGGCGTATTAATACCTTCAAGTTGATCTCCAAGATGAACAACTTTCGTTGCAACAGAATTAATACGATCATCAAGCTGGTGAAATATTTTTGTTGCCGTCTACAAAATATCCAGAATGGTACTGTATATAATGAGTGCAATAAAAAGCCACGATACAGTATCATCTAGTAAAGCAATGATGAAGTAAAATTCTGTAGTAAAACTACTAAAGTTAATACATGTTATTAGTATTGTTACTTCTCTATAAATTAAGCTTGTATAATTTCGGGGAAGATGAATATCGAAGACTGGGTTGTGAAGTAGTGTGAATATGAATACGGACGTATATCTTGGCTAGGAATATGAATATTGACGGCAGGAATATCAATGTTAAGATATGAATATTTGAAACAACTATTGGAATGAATATTTCTCTCCCTCCCCGCCGACAGGTTGAATTTCAAGGCCGAATTATAACTACACAATTTTTGCCTAAAACTGTCGCATGCAACCTGCTTACAACTTGAGTTGTACTTTGTAAATCAAGTATACACAATTCACTTACGTTGTCGTAAGTGAGTTCAGGGGTGGATCCAGCAAAGTTTTTCTAGGGGGTGCTCGGTGAGCAGCCGAGTGTTCCTTTATAATTCTTTACGGGGTGGTGGGGAGCATTCAAATGAATTGGCGGCTTCCTAACAACTTGAGCGCCAAGGCGTAAGCTCCTTAGGGAGTCCAGGGGTATGCCCTCCGGAACATTTTGAAAATTAGAACCCTAGAAATGCCATTTCCTGCGATATGGGCATTGAATTATGAGCTTCAGTATGACTTCAAAAAAGGAAAAACCTTGGAAATTGTGCCATATTTCTGAATTTGATTTTTTTGGCACCCCCCTTGCACCCCTGTTGACCAAGGCCAACAGGGGTGCGCACCCCTGTGCACTCCCCCTATAAATCCATCCCTGAGTGAGTTGTGTGCTTGACTTACACATTAAAAACTCAAGTTGTAAGCAGGTTGCATGCGACAGTTTTAGACAAAGTTGTATATATACGGTGTAAATCGGCCTTTACAGAGGTAGAAATATTAAATACTTAGGAAAATAAATTCGATTCTAGCGTGTGGCGGTTTCTACAAAAAAACGAAAACCGACCAAAAAACCCAGAAAAAACCGAGTGAACCGGTTTTAAAAAAAAAATACGTTCGAAAATCGAAACTACGGTAAAAAAAGACACAACACGCTACTCGGTACTCACGCAAAATATTACACGTAAGGTATTTTGAAGACGTTATCAAATTTCAAACAAAATGTCTTTAGTTTTTCGTGTGTAAATGCCAAAACTTGATTCATTTGCAACAAACTCTATAAGTATGGTTCGATTTTAGTAAAATATCGAATTTTCTTCGGGGGTTTTCCTTTTCCTCCCGTTTTTTTCGGTTTTTCTCCAAAAGTAACATCGAGTATTTCGGTTTTCAAAAGACATCGGGTTTTTTCGGTTTACCGAAAAACCGCCTCACCCTATTCGATTCGATAAATGATTTTATTCAACAAAGAGCCGGGGCCTAGGCCTACTGCATATATACTACTCTGTACCATGCATGTACAGTTAGTCTACGTTTACTGACAGCTGTTCTTAAATTGCAGTTTGTCATACTTTAGGAGCAAGACGGAAATTTATGCTCGGGTTTGAAAATCCATGCCTCTATAAAACTGTGGATTACCTTGGTGTCATCGTCCATTCCTACAATTCTACTTTTATGTTCTTTCTCTTCCTTGGCACATAATTCTTCCAGTTTATTAACTTGGCCTTGAATTGACTTGTCAAGCGATTGCAGTTGATGTATTGAGTTTACAAAGAAACTGTGAAGTTTATTCGGATCAAATGATTCTTCTCCTCCCTTAGTCCCACCTCCTTCAATTGTGCTCGCAAGGCGTTCAACATATTCAGTACACGCAAACGGTTCCTATAGGAAAAACAAATGAACTCAGAAACCGACCTGCCGGCATTTCAAAGATCACATTTAAATTGGCAGAACCGAAACATACCAATTTTTACTTTGCACCCTCCCGCGGCTCCCGACAGCCCGCCGGACACGGGTGTTTATTAGATTTCATTAAGACGGATTTATTACAGCAAACGCTTGTTACCGATTTGCCATTTGTCCACTCTGCGCATATTGCTAGAAACGTTGAGAAAAAAATAAACGCCCAGAGCGTTTATTCAATCATTTACCGTAACTGAATTGCATGGCAATTACAACTAAAGTGAATGACAACAAAATGGTTCATTACCAAAAACACTACACAGCGAAATCCGAAATTCTTAGTAAGATAAAATTGCTTGTTTCAAGCAATAAATTGCTTTAGATAAGATATCAAGTAAACTTTTTCTTAGCAACAAGAAGAGTTTACTTAAAACAAGCACATATATGCTTACTGAGCAAACACTATAGCCCTTGAAATAAAAAAGTGAGTAATTTTATTCTTGCGAAAAAGTGAGTAATTTCCTTAAAACAGGAATAAACATATTTATACCAAGAAACCACTTGGCACTTGAAATGAATAATTTACTTAAAACAAGGATAAATATACATTTACTAAGAAAATTCTTGGCGTTTAATTGAAATATATAATCAACTGAAGTAAATTTTTCTTGCCGTAATAGTTTACTGAAAGCTAGCAGTGGCAGCGGAACAGGGGGGGATATAGGGGGGCTTTAGCCCACCCAGAAGTAAAAGTGGGGGGCTTAGCCCCCCCAAAAAAAAAATACGTGAAGAATGCCAGAATGCGAGACCATTTATACAAACTACGAAGTCGTCAAATTACTGCTTGTCGGCTAAAATGCAAAAGAAAATATCCTACTTTGTGATCATGTAAATGTAAATTGAGTTTCTTTCATTGCGCAGATAGTATATAGTGATATTTTCAAGCTTTTTGTAGCTTATAATTGGTCGTTAATTTGCTTCAATTGCTCACTAATTCATCACGAGTTATCAAATGATCTATGCATAATTGCATATTCGTATTTTTGTAGATTTTGAACAATTTTTCAAAGGTAGGAGAAATCACTACACGCTATGCCGTTTGCGGTTTGTGTTTCCACTTAGTCAAAAACTACGGTAAACTTTTTTAAATTTAGCCCCCAATAAAATATGTTCGCGACCCCTGAAAGCTAGTAAGCTTTGGTACACAGAAATTTCAAAGTGACTATATTCTAGCCCTCAAAATTCAGCCATGCTAACTATATAGCAGTTCAGTAAGGACTCCAGTACAGTTACTACAGCTGAACCTAAGCTAAACTAACTTTATTAAAAAAGAACAAACTTCGACGTTTTCAGATCAAAGCGCCTTCACTCGATCGAAACGTCGAATTATGAATGTCGTATATTTTTCACACTACATGTTGACACCGGATAGTGAGTTTTTCAACCTTTCTAAAATTGACCGTTGAATAGTAGAACCAAGATTAGTGTTTGGTAACTTCAAATTAAAGAGTTTTCTGTATTTATTGTGAGGTCCATATCTGTAGTTTCACAGCTTTCAATGAAAGATGAAAAATTTGCTATCCGACGTTCGTACAGTTAACTAGCCGCAGTAGTTCTTCGCCTTAAGTTCCAATGAAGAGCATTCACTAATGCTGTATACAGTCACAACTCGAAGAAAGCCTGCGGTGTTTGATACTTTCATTTTAAACAAAAGAGTATTTTTGTGTTACCGAATTATACGCAGCAGCAGGCAATATAATACTAAGCGTTTAGTTTATAAGCGCTGTATTTAAATTTACAATGCTGTACTATACAAAAAGTTATAGAAAGTACACATCTGGTTCTCATAATTCATAAACATATGTAACACCTGTTTCAGTAGTTATTAATTTGCATTTTGCATGCACAAAAATTCATCATGTGTTAAGCCCGGCGCACACTAGTGCAAGTTACACGCACACTTGTCATTCGTGACCAACTACGTGTGACAAAAATCCTCAATATTTTCCCCGCACACTACTCGTATCGCGAACAACAAATATCAAACATGTTTGCAAACATGTTTGATATTTTCTGTCATTCGTGACAAAAATTCCTAGTGTGCGGCAAACAGCTCATCGCAACGTTTCGCATCAAAGAAGTGCGCATGTTGTCATTTTGGGGAATATCACGCATGCGCACTTCTTTGCTGCGAAGAGTTGCTGTTTGCTGCACACTAGGAATTCTTGTCACGAACGACAGAAAATATCAAACATGTTTGATATTTGCTGTTCACGAAACGAGTGACAAAAATCCTCAATATTTTCCCCGCACACTAGGATTTTTGTCGCACGTAATTGGTCACGAATAACAAGTGTGCGTGCAACTTACACTAGACCATAGAAATAATACACAATAATAGGTCTAATATTTCTATTCACTAGACTAAGCGCCGGGCTTAAGACTAAAACTGTTCATTAACTAAACTATAACTTTATTTTTACTGGAAAGTTATATTAGTTATAGATTATCCACTTTAAAGGTTAAATAAAGACCATTCATGAATAGAGCTAGTGTTATTACGGGAGGAAACCTAAACTATAAACTAACTTTATTCATACATGGATCCGAAGAATACTCAATGGTCTGACTGGGATCGGAATCGTCGACATATATTCATGTTTTTGATAACTTTCATTCCCTCGATACGTAAAATTTTCCAGTAAAAGATTAACCAGTTAAATGTGCATGAATTCACTGAACCTATTGTTTTGGCCCAGAGTCGCTCGATGTTTAAATTACCAGACAACGTTTTTGTCTCCTTCGAGGTTATCCCTAGCCCAATGTAGACGAACACTGGAATGGAGTAACTCGATATAGTTTTCAAAGAAAACGTGTTTTTCATCTCGGGCGATATTCCGCTGTTTCCACGACTTTTCCTGGCGATTGTGAATTGTTGATGAATAACACGGGAGGGGTATTAATAATAACAACAATTAGACAATGCACTTCATTAGATATAACAAAGATGTTTATAGAGATCAGTCCCAAAGTAAGTTCGACAATAATCAGTATTGCAAGAAGAGTTTAAAATTTTCCCCTTCGTTACCGATGTTCGATGAAAGATAGGATAAGATGTCGCCAAATATCGATCAAAATTCATGACCAAAAGAGCAAGTAAAGAAAAACCAAGGAAACTATCTGATAAGCTTTTGGAAATCAACGACAGCATACATCCAACCTTCCGGTCAACCATAACATCGCGGTAAGGGCCAACAATGGACGATTAGTTATAACCACAAGCAAGTCGCAACAAGACAAAACGGCCATTATCATGAAATAATATTCCTGAAAAAAAGAACAATACGTTCACAGCAAATATGAATATCAGGTTGATAAAATAGCTGAGCTCCATCGTGCGTCTTCGGAATTGACCTCGATCCTCTTCTGAAGAACCGAACATATAAGTATAGACAGCGGATGACATGCGCTTAGAATGACAATACAGAAGTGTATATATTATGATATAATTACTTCGATTACTTCTGTGAAGTATGCGATGTGTTTGGAGAAACACAATCAAAACGACTTCAAAAACTGCAAAATAGAGCTGCTAGAATTATCTTCAATATGAGTAATGACGTAAATCATTCATTTACTTTGTGTGAATTGGATTGGGAACCACTCAAAACATTAAGGAAGAAAGCTAAAGCAAAAATGATGTGTAAGTATATTAAATAAAATGGGTCCAAAATCACTCAAATCTATTTTCATATAAATGTGAGAAAACAAACTATCGCCTTCGGGACATTTCAACTGATCTTTGTAATACCAAAACCTCGTTCTAATAAAATGAAAAATAGTTTCATGTAAGACGGAGCAAAACTTTGGAATTCTATTCCAAAAGAAATTAGGGAAAGCAAATCACTTTCTTCCTTGCGAAATAAAATCGCTGCTCACATTTATGAGTAACAAGTATTGTAAATAATGTGCCTGTAAATAGTCTGTCAACTTTCTCATCAAACATTAATATGTTACTATTTTAATACTCATTAATATGTTACTATTTAATACTCTGTATCTTTTAAAACGTTTGTAAATAGCTCTAATTATCACTTTCATGTACATGTAATTTTTTTTTTGGCACACGCCCCTCGTGGAAATCAGCTTCGGTTGACGGGGTCAGCGTGTATAAATAAAATTTCTATCTGTCTATAGTTATTCATAACGT